AAAATACAAATTTATTTATATATTAAAGGAAAAGTATCATCCACGTGTTTATTTCCTTATATAAAAGGTGAAGTTTATTGTGGAACGATCCAAAAGGGAAAACATGAAGTTCTTTTAAGGAGATAAAGAGTAGATGACAAAGACTTGATCATTCAATTCAGTTTTGTAAGGGGAAAAAATTAAATTAAAAAAAACCTAAGCATGAAATTTAGTAAGACTGTCAAAATAGCTAAATGGATGTGGTCATATGCCTCTGTGTCAACTTCTAATTTTCCTCAAAGAGAGTTTAGCACATACTCCGTATTAGCTAAATGGATGTGGCCATATGCCACTGTGCCATATTCTAATTTTACTCAAAGAGAGTTTAGCACATACTCCGTATTACAAAATAATGATTCACATACCTCCTCTGCATCAAGGACCAGTGCGACTATGTGAGCACGCATAAGATGTTTCCTTGATTGCACTATACTCAAAGATGATGGTCCCTTCTGCTTTGTCCTGTCCAACCAACCCGCAGTGTCAACCTGAAAATGAAACAGGATTACACAGTACTCAGAAGATAAATGTGCAAAACTTCAAGCAACAACAACAACAACAAAGCCTTATCCCACTAGGTGGGGTCGGCTACATGGATCAAACAACGCCATTGTGCCCTATCATGTATCATATCTGCAAAACTTCAAGCATGCAAAAAAAACATGACTATAGATTAAGCGGAACGAGAAAGGAAGTAGGCGAGGCCATTTATTTATGGAGTAAATACGCACCAAATCTTTTGCTTGTAATCCTCAAATGCATAGGCCATATATGCACAAGATACTAGTTGGGAATTTGAGTGCAAGTTCATAATATAGGCCACTTATTTATTTCAAGGGCTGTTTGATTTTCTGTTGTAGCCAGATTTGGGCGGGAGCCTTTGAGGAACTGGGGTAATCTTGTTGTTGTTTGACGAAGGGATTTAAATATACATAAAATTATATAGAAGAGCAGCATATGCATGCAATAGTTTTACTGAAATGGTCTAGAGGCCTAATCATTTCAGTAGTGGCTTAAGGCTGATAGAGCATCTTATAAAATGGATGATGGATTATAATTAAAATGCTGATTTATTTGAGTGGAAAGATTATAGTCCCTTTGGAAAGGACAAGGCTTCGTTCACAAGTGTAACTTAATACTGAAATCCCTCCCCTCAAGCTCAGCCAGATACATAATATTTAAAGGAAAGGAAGATAACAAACAAATAAACAATATAAAAACAGTAGAAAGATAGTAGAAAACAGGTAGCAGATGAAAATATGGATCTTGCCCCTTATAATAATCCATTAGGCATTATTTGACCAGGAAGGCAGGAACATGCAGCAAGCGCGTTATGCTCCTCAAAATATCCCATTATTCCATGTTTTTCCTTCTCCTGGAAAAAGTGATGAATGGTTTGCTATCAGTACTCCCCCGCTGGAAATTGACCGTGTGCTCAAGGTGGAATGATGAAAATTGACCAGCAAGCAAATCATATTCTTCCCATTCTGCCCAAATTGAGAACTCCAACGATGTGTTAGAACTTTATCTGGATGTAATTCAAGCTCCCAATCTCTATTAATGGAAGAAGGAGCTGGAGGTTTACAAAATCCAAGTTAACTGGAACAGCAAGGGCCAAAAAATCAGCATGTTGCGGTCTCCAGGATAAGGCATCAGCCCCAAGGTTGTATTTTCCCTTTTTGTAGGTGATTGTGAAATCAGAGGGTAATAACTTTGTGAGAGGTCGTTGCTGTTAGGGCGTTGTCACACGCTGGTTCAATAGATACTTGATACTATGGTGATCAGTTCATATAAGAAAAGGTGGCCTAGCAAATAATGCTTCCATTTCTGCAAAGCTAAGACTCAGGGCATTGCAAGCAGTTCTCTGTTGTAAGCAGATGTACGATGGTTAGGGGGAGAGAAACCCTTACTAAAATGAGATCGGGTGTTCTGATTGTAGAAGGATGGCTCCCACTCCTGCTGAAGATGCATCACATTCCACTGTGAAAAGAAAATCTGGCAATTTGAGGACTGGGACAGAAGTTATGGCCATTAACTGCTGAAATGCAGATTTGGCTTGCGTATTCTAGTGAAATCCATTTTTCTTGGTCAGCTCCGTCCCTCAACGGCCTTGCAATCAGTCCATAATTATTTACAAAGCGATGATACTAACCTGTCAAACCTAGAAAACCAAACAGATCTTTGACGTCATAGGGCTTGGGTCACTCAATTGCTCAAAATTTATCTTAATGACTTAATCAACAGCCAGTCCATCTCCTCAGAACACATGTCCCAGAAACTGAAATTGTTTCTGTCCAAAGTGGCATTTCTTTGAGTTGGCAATGAATACAAGTGCTCACCGGCATTACTTTGAGTTGTCTAGGATGGTACCTCAATGAGTTAGCTGTATCCTCGTCTTCATTGTCTTGCCAGCAATTTTGCTGCCTATTCCGCTGACCAAAATGTGTGTCCTGCAGCTGGCATCAGTTTGAGCCATTTGGGCAATTTTCAGCCTAGTAGAGAGTACTGGTTTGGCCTTAAGTGCAGCTACTTCAGCAGCAAGATTAACGAGATGAAGGGGGGAATTGGGTTGATGGTTTTATGATGTAAATCTAGTGTTGACCATGGTGGACCAGAAAAAGCTCTCATTCAGTCATACCAAATGATAGACTGGCATAGGCTTATTAGATGGAATATGGAATATTATTAAAACACTAATTTATTTGAGTGGAAGGATAATAAGTCCCAGAGAGAGAGAGAGAGATACCTAAGATGGGACCATATACCTAAGATGGATTCATTTCATTATTGGAAACAGATGATAAATGTTAGACATTGCTTCAGGGACATGCACTGCAATGGAGGATACACACTGAAGAATGGTTATGAGTACCTTCAGAATGTAAACCAGAGGCCTCCTTGGGTAAACTGGGTCTGGAATAATTCACCCCACCAAAAGTCCAATACATTTTTTGGCTCCTCATGCAAGGTAGATTAATGACAAAGGTGAGATTGAGGAGATGGATGGATATATCTACAAACTGCAGTCTGTGTGATATGGACAGTGAGGATACTAACCATTTGTTTTGCTCCTACAGGTATGCAAGGCTTGTATATAAGGACATATTGGGCAGGTATGGACTACATATAATGGCGGGTGACGTTATAGAGTTTGGGGAAAAGGTTGCAAGTGATATACTGATACCAATACAAATAACAAGAAGATCAATTTGGCAGTATGGGCTACATGTTGCTATGGGATTCAGAAAGCAAGGAATGGGTACATCCATCAAAAAAAGATTGAAGTGCAGCAAACGGTTGATTATATTTGGTACTTAAGTAGTGTGATTATTGTATTGAATTGGTTGATGTGAAATAAAGTTTGTGATTTTGGTTCAAAAAAAGGATAATAAGTCCCTTTGGAGAGGACAAGGCTCCGTTTACAAGTGTAACTTAGTACTGAAATCCAGGCCCTCAAACTGACCAAGACACAGAATATTTATATGAAAGAAAGATACCAAACAAACAATATACACCAAGGTTCCCATGACATGGCCCGGCAATGTCACGGGATGACCTGGGGGCGCTCCGGTGCCCCGTTCGTAAAATTGACGGTTCCTACCCCCCCTAATCCCCCGGCAAACCCCCCCACCTCGCCCCGACCCAAACACACCCTCCACCCCCTTCAATTGCACCCCGACCCGAACACACACACCCCCCCTAACCCCATAGGTAGCAAGTGAAAAATGGATCATGCCCATGCCCATTAGAAATTTAGAATAATCCATTAGGCAATATTTGACCAGGAACATGTGCAATATGTTATTCCAAATAACCCATTATTCAATGTTTTTTTCCTTCTACTGGAATAAGTGATGAGAGGTTTGCTATCAAAGGCATACTCCGTATTATTGAGGAGCATAATTGATAGAGAGGGGGGGGTATAGAAACTAAGTAAAATCTTACCAAATAAATAGTCCGCCCATCATAATGAAATTGTGCACGGATCGAATCTCTAGTCAACCCAGCTTCTGGCCCAACCAATACACGGTCTTCTTGTAATATTGCATTCAACAGTGTTGATTTTCCAACATTTGGTCGTCCTACAATTGCCAACTGTAATGGCAATTTGGCTTCAATTCCCTTAGAGGATCCTTTCTCGTGATTATCGTCGTCTCCATAACATGTTATTTTTGTAGATGTCAAGATCTCATTTCAGTAATGTATGTTAATTAAGAAATTACCCTAAATACAAAAATTTCAAATAAAATGTGACGCCAGCCATTGCAATATCAAGTTTTGAAAAACAAGTGCCTTACCATTTAAGTTTTTCAGCACGTATTCCTGAAGTAATGGGCGAAGTGTTTCATGAAGCTCAGCCATGCCAAATCCAGTTTCAGCAGATAAAGCAATAGGATCCCCAAATCCTAATCTATAGGCCTCACCTGCAGCAGCAGCAAGAGAGCCATCACTATCAGCGAGTGCTTCAGCTTTATTCATAACCACAATAATCTTAATTTCCGAAGCATGCTTCCTCAACCACTTTCCAACATCAATATCCATCGGCTGCAGTCCTTCTCTAGTACAAAGATATATGAAAGGGTTTTTGATTGTATGTTCTGCAAAAGTCGAAAAAAAAGATAGAAAAGAAAGCAGTGTTCTTTTAACACATTTATATCTAGCTGATGTTGATGTTTGTATTTTATTATCGGTTTCTGCACAAGTAAGTTTCCAGGGTCCAATGGTTTCTGTTTCTGCATTTTATTTTGGTCTTATAGATAAGCAATACCAAAAGTCATCACATCTTCATCTGTCTAACGTTTAGTTTTGCAAAAGATATAGTGTAATGATTAGAACTAAACAAAAATTATAGTGACCTGCAATTTAACATGATTTGTCCATTGCCAATGAAGCTAAAAAAAAGTCATTTTTACAATGTTTTAGCTTCAAGTAAATGATGGAAAAAATAAAAATGACACATTAAACTTCCCTTACTTTTTTTACTTTCTAGTATGAAGTTTTGCCAAGTAAATGCAGCAATGCATCAAGGGTCTATTGGAAACAACCTCTCCATTTTTTACTCAAGGTAAGGTTGGGTAAATCTTGAGCCCCATACTCTAACGGATTGGGATTATAGTGGGTTTGTTGTTGTTGCAATTTCACTTGCACCATCTTCATTGATTCTAAACAAATCAAAATCAACTTTCATTTGTTCCAGTTATCTGCATGCTTAATTCATTCCTAAAAGCTTCAGTGAGATTGAAAAATAATATGCTAAGAGATTTGCAAGTGAGATTACCGTGCATCAATCAAGAATAGTGCAAACTGAGATCTTGCCAGCACATTCCCAGTCATTTCTGCGGTTCTTTGAAGAACTGAACCAGCTGTTGCTTCTGCCTCTAAGCCAGCAGAATCCAACACAATGAAACGCAAATCGCCCAATTTGGCAACCCCATCTCGTATATCACGAGTAACATGGTCAGCAGGTGTGTTGTACACAAGGGCTTCCCTCCTTCGTATCAGCCTACAAATCACAAATCAATACATGCAAGAGAGCCAAATTAATAAAATGACATGGTTAACTGCAGTAAATATATAAAATCGTAGCAGTTCTAACCGATTAAACAGCGCAGACTTGCCAACATTTGGGCGACCCACTATAAGAACAGTTGGAAGTTTGCCAATTGCGATCTTAGTGAAATCAACTGATTCTGCTGTGGAAAATACAACTTTTTGCTCATGAGCATCAGTCATGGAATCGCAGTCACCATCGAATTCTACTTGGCTATTTGTATCGTCAGGTGAGAAACCAAAATCTGGCCATTTGTCTTTTGTTTCTGCCATCGAAACAGTACATAATTTTCTGACATTGGTGAAAGCAACTGGTTGTGCTAGAGGGAACAAGTCATAACATCTTGAATCCAAAGTAGCTGTTTCAATGTCATGTCTTGTGAAATGACAAGAGGATAAACCTAAATAGTGCCACAAACAACTGAAATCAATGTTCAGATTCAAGGTATATAATTTCCATAGGAAAAAAATCCAACAAACCTTCCATCATTTCCTATCCAGGTGATGTGATTAAAAAAGAGAAATTTTTCATCAACTCTCAAACAAAGAATCATGTAAAGAAACAAACTTTATCAAAAAGAGGAAGAAAAAGAGAATTACCACATTTTGCTTGAGAGGAGCTGCCACTAGAAAATGGAAACACCTTAGCTTCACCTTTACAGGGCTTAGTGCAATAGGCATGCAAGGATGCTATTCTAGATAAAATCCCAACATAGTGGTGATGGGAGTTTCTGGCAGAAAGAGCTCGAGCCCATGAGCGAGGCATAACACAAGACAAATGCTAAAATGAACAATTTTTATCTCTTGCCTTTCATTAATTTGGAAGTTTTGGGCTATATAACCTGGAAACGTAGAAGATTTATAGTTAGCTTTTAAAAACGACTTAAACAAAATGATTGAAAAATAACATAATTATACTCGGAAAACAGATTTAAAAAAAAAAACAAGGTAGATTAAGTTCAAACAAGGTAGGTAAATGAAGTTGGGTAGATTTAGGCTAGGAGGTTGCACGGGTTCGCCGGCTGAGTGCCGCTCGGCGCGCCGGAAATGCAGCGGGGATGGATTCCGCTTAGGGGATGGCAACTAGCAATTCCTAAACGTCTCGCAAGGAGACGGGATTCGTCGCCGACTACTATCCACACGGATTCCCGTCGCAGGGGGGTTTTGGGTGCGGCTAGAACCCCACCCTTTTTTTCGCGTAAGAAGCTGAACCGCGATTCGATTTAGGGCCAAAGTAACGATAGAAATTAGGAATATACTCTCTACCACGAGTACTCGGTATACTACTGACCTTCTCTGCTTCTCCTTCTCCTTGGACCTGCGAATCTCTGCTTCCTCCGATACTGCCTCAGGGGGGGGGGCTATTTGTCGCTGTTTTCTGAAATCTGAATTTTCTCGAATTGCTCCGGTTGGAATTTGCTTTCTCTAATTGGCCTACTCTTCACTCTCTAATAGGGTTTGTAAACTAATCTAATCTAATCCAATATTCAATAATATTCGTATTTCTTAAGATAAAGTTAATTCAAATTCTGTTCGAATTTTTTTTTTAAATTCATATTCAGTTCGTTTAATCTATTAAACATACTTGGTTTGTTTAAAAATTTGATTCGTTTAAAAATATTTGCTTTATTTAGATTTTAAAATATTTTATAATCATTTAATCTATTTATTAGCTATTAGAAAAAATTTATTAACTCATTATATATATATATATATATATATATATATATATATATATATATATATATATATATATACACTCCCTCCGTCCTGAAATATATTATAATATTCCCTCACATTTTTGTCCCAAAAAAGAATACAAAGTCAATAACTTTATAGTGATTTGACTCTTTTACCCTTCCTTTTCTTTTCTGTCAGCCACTATTCACACTATTTGGGGGGATTTGGGGGTAATTTGGGGAAAAAAAATTTGATTTGACTCTTCCTTAATTTCAACTAAAAGGGAATATTGTAATCTAAAGTGGGACGGAGGGAGTATATATATATATATACACACACACACACACATACACACACGGTAAGTCTAAAATGACACCAGTGCTACTGGTGTCATTTGCTTACACTNGGAGCATTGTAGGTATCCCAAATAAACTGGTGTAAGCAAATGACACCAATAACACTTGTGTCATTTTAGACTTACCGTGTGTGTATATCTGTGTGTGTGTGTGTGTGGTAAGTTTGAAAGACTTGAGGTAAAGTTGAAGTATATGCATGAATTTCTTATAGTTACGTTGTATGTGTTATGGCTTTTAAGAGCAAAATGTTAATGATCCACTTAATTTATATTTTGTGTTTTTCAACTCAATATTAATATCTTTGACAAATCGTAGAAGCAGAACTATTATATAAATAGGCACATGGAGTCATGGATAATGGCGATTTGGATTTGGAATGCTTTGAATTGAATTTTTTTGCACATTGTTTTTTTTCTGTGTAATGTGTTTAGGCTTTGTATTTAGACTTTGAATTATAAGGTTTGGATTTTATGTGTAATGTGTTTTAGACTTTATAAAGTCCCTTGAGCTACTTTTTTTTCACCAAAATTGAAATCTGAACTCATTTTTTAAGCATTGATTCGGTCCTTTCGGCCTAGATCGGTTTGGTCCATATGATTTCGGTCCGGTTCAGAAGCGAGTACATTTAAGTCCGGTCTTCGATCTGGGTTTTGGCGTATTTCGATCTTCGGTCAGGTCAAGGTCAGGGTTTAGACCGACGAACAGCCCTACGACTACATGGCCAAAATGAAACATACACAATCAATCAATACAAACATCAACCAAATTCCACATTGACACCAGTATAAGCCTGCACTGCATCAACATTTCAAACCCAATTGTAGGAGTTGAGAGAAACAAAAAAAGAAAAGATAAAATACTTTTATTTCTCTCAAGGGACTAATCAATCATCATCCAGACCGAATCTGAAGCTGGAAACACCATCTGCCAAACATTCAAATTTTACTAATGAGAACAAACAGGAAGAAACAACTTGCAGTTCAGCAGCTTCGGATAGCTTACATTCCAAACAAGGGCCATTTCTGGGATAAACATATTATATCAGAATAGTTAAGAAAAATTTGCAAACAGCTATAATCACCTACTACACCATTTGCCCTCAAACTTGATACATATCAATCATATGAACTGATAAACTTTAGAGGCACAGAAAAGTTCTTGAGGGCAGAAACTCCAAACTTCTTGCCTATAGAGGATTCTTTCTAGGCCTACCCCTCTTCTTGGGCCCTCCGGATACTGGGTGTGGTGGGTTTGGGTTATGCATTGGTGGTGCAAACCCCATCACATTAGCATTTCCCTCACCAGCTGCCCCAAACCTCTCTCCTCCTGTTGGTGGTGCCGCCGCAGTAGCAGCACTGCCACCGTCTGCAGCGGCAGTGGGTGGTGGTGGTGCTCCTCCTCCACCACCACCACCCGGAAACATCTGAGGCATCCAATTCGGAAAGCCATTGACGGCAGCAGCAGAAGAGGAAATGCTCTTCTTCACATCAGTATTTCCCGTCACGAACCCCATTGGGAAGAATCCCCAACAGCAATAATAAGCGTTCTTCCCGGGCACCCGAGGCGGCATCTGCCGTATCTCCGCGGCGGTGAATGCCTTCTCGCAATTCTCACACCTCAAACAGCACCCTACATAACGCCTCTCGTACTCATACAGATTGTAACAGTAGGGACAAACAGACCAAAAGGTGGACCTTTGAGATTTCGCCCCGCTACTGACACTCCTAGGGTTCATCTTCTCGCCCCCACTCTGATTATTCCCACTGTTGATGTTGTTGGGAGTGAAATTGTTGTGAATCTCGTTGCCATCGTTACTGTTCTCGTTATTATTACTTACTCGCGAGCTTCTCCTCACCGGGAGTTTATGGCCGGCGTCCTCAGATCCACGCGCTGCCTCTGCGGATCCAGGCTGGCGTGCCGCCGGTTTCCTCTTCGGCACCAGATCGACCTTTTGGTAGACCGATAACTCGTTGTCGAACAGCGCCTTCTTCGTCGGATCTGACAGGACGGCCCATGCATCGGCGACGAGGCCGAAGGCGGCGTCGGCGAACTCGAACTTGTTCTTGTCGGGGTGGAGAAGGAGGGCGAGGCGGCGGTACTGCTTCTTGATCTGCTCGGCATCGTCAGTCCTGCCCCCGATTTGCAGAATTGCGTACCAGTCGTGGTGGTTCTGGATCTTCCTGGCGGACGCCAAGTGGACCTCGGCGACGGCCAAGATCTGATCGGAGCCTTCGAGCAAAGGCTCGGTTTCTTGAGCCAGCAGCGCGAAGTCTTTGCAGCCGGAATAGTCCTTCTTCAGAAGCAGCTTTTCTGAGACGCCCAGCAGCCGTTCAGCTTCAGCTCGGCTCGTGCTTGTGTGGTGTTCCATTCTCTCTCCTTCCCCGTTTCTCTGCTTTTTGAGGTTTTCCCAACTGTGATAAAATAGAAACGAGGAAGGAATCGAAATTTCACTGCCGCTGGATGCGGGGTGAAAATTGATAAAGTTGCGGCTAGGGCCGATCTGAACCGAGCCGGTCCCAAATATTCAGGTACGGTCTTCGGTTTTTTAAAATTTAGAATTTTGGGTTCTGATCGGTTAGTATATAATAAAAGATAAATTTTTTTAATAATTCAATAAATCCAAGCCCAGAATGTAATAGTCCAAAGCTCATTAGTGAATCCATTAGACCATTATCCTTTCAAAAATTTTCTTTTTTCAATTCTCATAGGCTCCTAGCATGATATTTTACTTAATTTCATTTTTTACTTTAAGTATTTTCTATTATTTTATACTTTGAAGTTTGAACTTTGGTTTGATATTTTTTTCATGGATTTTGAAGTGGTATTAACTTATGAATTTAACATTTGCTCTACCTTCTGAATTGTTATGAATTTGAGGATTGATAGTATTATATATACATATATATATATATACACACACACATACATACACAATTTAGAATATGAATTTTTTATAATGAAAATTAAGTCATTTATGTTTAAAATCCAATCCATAATAAGGTAAATCCAGACCGGATCGAAAAATTTAAGTCCGGACCAGTATCAAACAGGTCCGATCTTCGGTCCTTGCAAATAGAAGATTCTTGTTCTGGTCCATTCCGGTTCCGGTCCAGTCTGGTCCGGTTTTGGACCGGTGCACACCCCTAGTTGCGGGTTTAGGCACACTGACGAGCCGCTGGTTCATTTGACCACAAAACATCCTACAAACGAGTGTAAATTACCAAAATATTACTCCGTATTTATTAATTATTTGTTCTCTCAAACTAGTTCTCAAAATTAACTAATTCTCGATATTATACTTATTATCTGATAATAATGCTAAGTTCAATCCCCTCGACTAAGGTTGCGTTCCGTTCGCTTGATTTGATCTAATCTGTTTTTTTTAAATCCTGATCTGATCTAATTAAATTTGATCTAATTTGATTGGATATGATCTAATTTATTTTGATTCGGTCTGATCTGATCTAGTCTAATCAGATATGAATTTGATTAAAATTAAAATTGTAAATAAAAGTTTTATTATAATACCTAAAATAATAGAAATATTAATAATAATAATAGTAGTAATAAAAATAATAATACTAATAGTAATAATTATAATAATAGAAATAATTATAGAATAATTGATAGTAAAAGCAATAATCATAATAATAGTAATAATAATAGTAAGAACAATAATAACAATAATTATACTAATAATAGTAATAATAATAATAATAGAAATAATAATAATAATAATAATAATAGTAATAATAATATTAGTAACAATGATGATGATAATAGTAATAATAATAATATTATTAGTAGTAGTAATAATAATAGTAAGAGTAATATTAATAATAATAATAATAATAATAGTTATATAATAATAGTAATAATAAATGGAATAATATTAGTAATAGTAATAATAGTAGTAGTAGTAATAGTAATAGTAGTAGTAGTAATAATAATAATAATAATAATAATAATAATAATAACAAAAACAACAACATTATTATTATACATATTAGTAGTAATAACAATAATAGTAATAATAACAATAGTAATAATAATTACATTCATAATATTAATAGTAATAGTAATAAAAAATATTAATTTTGTTTAGATCTAGTTTAGTCTGATCTCATCTGATATGATTGGATCTGATCTAATCTAATTGGATATGATTTGACCTCCTGATCTGATTTAATTTTAATAAGAATAAGTAACAAGCATAAAAATAAGTTGAACGAAACGGTAAAGCCCCGAAACTAGGCCTATCAAAATTAATTAACTAATAATTAATTAATTAATGAGAAGGACCCAAAAATAAGTGATTTATAAGATTTCAATTTGGAGAAAGTTGGACCAAAAAGGTGTACCCACAGTCCCAATTAGAGACTTGCGTTTGGAATCGGAGGAAGTCAGCAGCCCGCTCCACTGAGGCGCCAAAACAGGAACTGCAAACATCACCCTTAGCTTCTTATCCATTTCATCTACTACATAAACCCCTCAAACCTTCATCATTTTCGTTATGTAGAGTTTGACTCTCTAACCCCAACGGTTCAAACAGATTTCAATTTGGAGAAAGTTGGACCAAAATGTGTACCCACAGTCCCAATCAGGGACTTGCGTTTGGAATCGGAGGAAGTCAGCAGCCCGCTCCACTGAGGCGCCAAAACAGGAACTGCAAACATCACCCTTAGCTTCTTATCCATTTCATCTACTACATAAACCCCTCAAACCTTCATCATTTTCACTACTTTTCTTCCAAAAAAGAGCTGTGAGTGTAGAGAGTAAAGTAGTGCTGTCTATAGAGCTTCCCGTCGCCGGAGCTAGCCACAAACCTCGCCGGAAAGTTTCACCAGAAGTTTTCCAAAACCTCCGTTAAGCTTCGAGGTAAGCCCGTAGATAGATCTAGTGACTAGAATGTTCGTATAGATCGTTTCTACGTTCATAAACGGTCGTTTGGTTGAGTTTTGTTTTTCACATGCTTGAAAAACTAAGAACCATAAACCTTGAAATTTTTGTTAAAACTATGAATTAATGATGCCAAAATGATCTATGAACCTTGGAGAATAATTCTATATAGTTTAATTGATGTTTGGTGACTAAAAATGGTATTTTCGAAATTGAACCCGAAATGAAGAAGATGATGAAAACTGATCGAAAAGCTAGAGGGTGGATTGATCCACCCTATTAGATTGATCACTTGGGAAGACTTCTTCTAGGGTGGATCGATCGTAGCCACTAGATCGATCCCTCAACCTGGTTGCTTCAAAAATATTTTTGAAAATGCTATTTATGAGCTCTAAAATCCTATTTTTTATACCAATTAATTATGATCAATATAAAGATGATTTTTCATAATAAAAATAATATTTTTGACAAATAAAATCTTATGTGATGCATGACGGTAAGTTAGAGTGTTAACACTTGAAGCTAGGCCGTTATTTGCTAATGGTTATTATGTTGGTTGATGATTATGATTAATGATTATTACGTATAATTATGAATGATAAACCTACTGATTAAAATGATTACTTCTAATGATTGAACCATGATTAAAATGAATACATTGATGATTACGAAATGATTTGTATGGTTAAGAAGAACTCTAATATATACCCATTTGGAAGTTGATGATAACTATTAAGTATATCTAGAAGAACTCTAAGATATATATTTATATTTATATTGGTTTCTAATACCATCTGGAAGACCTCTAGGATAGATTAGAAATAAGTCTTGCGGGTATAACTATGATTATTTGGTGGTCTAGGTAAAAACGTAGGTACGAGATCCGCAAACCAAACTTGAAGATCACTCGTTTGGGAACACCATCCAACTCGACAGGGTAAAACTTAGAGAAAGATCAGAGCTCTTATTTTGGTACTTTAGTTTTTTAATGATTTTTTCCTATATAGAGTGATTTTTTTGATAAAAAAATAAGCCCCAAAATTCTTAAAGTATCATTAGACCCGACTAGACGGTTATTAAAAAGAGTTAAATTAGGTATTTTTGCAATTTGGTAGTTGCTACACAATGTAGTTGCATGAATTTAACTCGGGTCTACCTCATTGGCAATTTGGCACTCTTTACATTTGTCAACTGCGCAACACCCACCAACATGCTACAAATGATGAAGTTTGACACTAAGATCGAGCATGTTATGTTTAACATATTTGATTGTGATTGATTTGATTTGATTACGTTTTGATTTGATTATAGGTGTATTTAAAGTTTTTTCTGATTTGATCTGATTTCATTAAGAATAATTAATAAATAAAAGGAAAAAATTGAAGAGCGCAAGCTATAAGTATTACTTCATTAAAAATACAAAAATATCTTCAATTTTAATGACATTTAATAGAGTTTTTTGCCAGAGGACTATTTCAAGAATTAATTTAAATTATAAAGAATCACGTAAGTAGTTATTCATTATTGAGAACTAATTTGGAAAAACATCTTTTTAGAAATGACAGTTTTAGAAATTCACCTCAATTTAAGTTATTTATTTATTATTTATATAATCAAACTTTAATTACGTCTTTTTACCTAATTGATAAAATAATATACATTGTTGCATCTTGTTTTGTAGATCTTTTGATATACTCTCTCCAAACAAATGCTAACAGGTACCCTATATTTTGTGATTCCTCCGTCAAACCCAATCTACAGTCAACTCCATCTTCTTTCCCCTCTTCTTCTTTTCTCCTCCTCCTCCCCTTCTTCTTCTTCTTCTTCTTCTTCTTCTTCTCCACCTTGCGATCAGATCTAACCCCCCCCCCCCTCCCCCAACCCTTTTTTTCTTCTTCCATTTTTTGTTTTGAATTCCTTCTTATTCTATTATTATTATTCCCACAGAATTCCCAGATTAGAGGTGGAATTGGGGCACCCATTTCTCATAATTCAAAATCACAGTACCTGAACCATATAACCTCAAATTAACTATTAAAAAACCCAATGTCTTTTCTATCAAAGAAAAAAAAAATCAGAAATTTCAAAAGAAAAAGATGAACCTAGAAAGAAAAATATAATTTTCAGCTCAGTGAGTTACTTGTGGGAAGAGGGTGGGATTTGCTTTGGAGAGTGAAAGAGTAAGAGGATCTATGCAGTAGTGGACCAAGAACGCAGAGCAAGTTTGAAGATAAAGCCATTTTCTGGTTTTCTTTTTTTTTGAAATTGGGTCTTTGGTTATTTTGCTGCAAAATCTAGGAATTCTGTGAGAAATTAGATTTGGACTTGTGCGCCACTATGTATGGGGTAGGCGCTCCTGCAAGACTGTTGGGAGAAGAAGAAGAAGAAGAAGAAGAGAAGAAGAGAGAGGTCGAGAGAAGAAGAGGGGAAAGAAGAAAGAAAGAAGATGGAGTTGACGGTGGATTGAGTTTTGACAGAGGAAAACGGAAAGTCCCTCCCTGGTCATTTTTTTCATATTTTAACCTACCTCACGGTACATTTTGAAAACATAAGGTACATGATAGTTATTTTCACAAAATATAGGATACCTGTCAGCAATTTTTTGTACTCCCTCCGTTCTAATTTATAGTGTATGTTTTCGTTTACGGTGTTCGACTGAAATTATATTCAAATCATTTTATATGAAAAATGGTATAGAGTTAAAAAATATAAATTATATATTAAAATACAAATCAAAATATCTACAAAACTAGTAGTGACAATAGTACTTTACTTTATTAAATTGCTAACGAAAATAGAGAAAGAAATTGAATAAAGTTTGATCCTTTGAATAGTAAACATACACTATAAATTAAGACGGAAGTAGTTTTTAAATATATAAATTTAATATTTTATTCCAAACCAATTTTCAACAAAACTAAATTGAAAATAATGTCAATGAAATCTCGTAAACAAAAAAAGATTTAAATTAGGACATAAAGAGTAATTTTTTGCATGATGATGTAACATAATTATTCATTTCTAGGTTCACCTTTTTAAATAGAATGTCATATTTAGTATGCAGCTATACATTTTACGTGTAACAATATATTAGTCATCAAAAATGCTAGGGGTACAGCATTAGTGTACCCTATTTATACCCCGCTCCATCCCACCATACAAAAACAAGAGAAAAAATTAAAAATAAAAAAAGAAATAGAGGATGAAGATGCATGGTGTATAAATGGAATACACTATTTGGTGTACCACTAGCATTCCTCATTAGTCATTGTGAAGCTTGGATAAAGACTACACCCTCCATCTCAACTTAATAAAACCAATTTACATATTTAGGCTATAGATAACTTTTTTGAGCATGCACTTTCATTGATCATTTCATTAAATTAAAAAAAACATGCCGCCAAGTACCAGGAAAATTTTTTTGTCTCTCTATTTGAAATTAAATTCCTTATTTACGATTTACGAGATTAAATTTCATTCACTTTCTTTCTCAATTTTTTTTACTCATTGGATAAAATAATAATGAGTAAAAAAAATTCTCACTTTCACTACATTTTTTGGTGATTTCTTTCACTTTCTTTATCAAACTTCATTCACAAAAAATTTTGGGGATTGAAGAGGTAAAAATCACCAATTTTACAAAACAAGCATAATAGTTGCCCGATATTATAATTATGACATCGGAATCTAATCTCAAAAGCAGCCCACCAAATAAACATTCCCCTAAAGAGAGGAACAAACAAAGGTTCTATAACTGAAAAACCTTAAAAACTAGTACTAATAAACATTCAATAAGGATGGATGAACTACCTACAAAGGAAAAATGTAAGGTGGTGTTGCAACAATTGTCAATTTTGACGCGGCTTCACGGCCGGTAGGCAAACTAAACTCTCAACAAGCATAGAGTTGGAGCATTTCATCTTCCACTGGGTGAGTAGTGCCAACAATGACTAGACAATGTAGAGGAGGCCCAAAATCATAAGTTATCAATTGCTTCATAGAAGCCGCAACCACCCTCTGATCTTCACTACCCAGACGGGCAAACCCGACACAAGTAGTGTCTTCATTATATGCTGCAATTCAGTAAAAAAAAAAAGCTAGTTCTAAATTCTACCACGTAAAACCAGAAGTATTTTATGATTTTTTTTGTAGTGTAATCAAATACCTGATTCCCCACGGGATTCTTCCACTTCTAAGAGTTGTTCAATTGCTGTACTTGTTGTCATGTACCTTGGTGGCTCATAAAGCTTTTTTCCTCTGAGTGTAAGAATTTCAGGCATATATCACAAGCTATTTCATGAAGAATGTATTTAAAATAGGTAAGAACTCTAACCTAGCCAAGGATTCCAATGAGGGTTCTTTCACTCGTATATCTGCAATATAAATAGTTCAGTTAATGCCTTGTTTGGTAACCACAGTTTTTTATCTTTGCAAATTTTCAACTGAATAACAATTACTTTGTTGCATTATCAGATTTAGCTTATGATACAAACAAAATTTAAGGGTTGCATCTTCTGAAGAAATGACTTCAATAATGACTCAAATGAAGATAAATCATACTTCTACCTTCATGTTTTAGATATTTTTCCTTTAATTATTAAACAAATGCACTTTTTAGACATTTCAGTGTCATCTTGCTGTGCAGCCATTTCAACAGCGATCTCAACAAATTCAACTACATTTAGCCCTTCTATAGGGGTTTAAGTATACAAAAGAAGGTTGTTAGAAGAGACACTAAAATATCTATCATCACTATGAAATTATGAGCAGTTCATGCAGATTGCAGACAGAAAAATTGGACTGACATTTTTCTATGCATCCGCAAAGATGATAGTAATCATGAAAGCTATCACAAAGTAGGATGGAACTAATGTTCAACAATCAAGGCGAGAAAAAATTATTTTGATCCATGCCCAGCAGCAGCCCGTATCACATTCCCGCTTGACTAGAGTAACTGGTAGTGTAATATCGGAGTATTAGTTTTTGTTAACTTCCCAACCCTGAATTTCAAAATAACATAGTTACTCAGAGTCCTAAAGTTCACCCCATTTGGTCATGTTACTGAGTCTTAAAAAAAACAGAAATCTACACTAGGGGCCAATGCATGTGAGCACAAGTTAATTTCTTAAAATATTATTTGCAGGAGCAGTTGATTTAGCTCCAAATACGCCAAATGGAATATTGTTGGTAAGCTAGTTAGTCACAAGAGCAGTCCAGGAATCTTCACAACAGGGAAAACACAGAGACAGAAATGCCACAAGCCTTACTGTGATCCGAAAGGTGGATAATCTTAGTGGCCCGGCTGAGTATGGACCCATTGCATGCTGTAATGTGGTCTCTAAGACAATCTAAAAATTAATTTGCTCTAGACTAAAAAATATCCTCCCTCATATTGTAAACTTGAACCAAGCAGCTTTTGTTCAAGGAAGAGAACTCCTACATAATGTGTTGATTTGCCAGGAGATTGCTAAGGGATACAATAGGAAGGGTGTTTCCTCCAGGTGTATGCTGAAATTGGACATAAAAAAAAGGCATATCACTCAGTTGGAAGGCAATCAGAGGGATTTTGTGCAGCCCAAAATTCTCAGAGCAGTTTATTAATTGGATTATGTTCTGTGTTACGACTCCATATACTATTAATGTGAATGGAGGGCAACATGGATATTCCAATGGAAGGAGAGGACTCAGACAGGGAGACCCAGTCTCTCCTCTCATTTTTGTACTTATTATGGAGTAACTAGCCAGGATCTTTTAGACTATGGCTCGGAGGGAAATATATCTTATCACCCTATGTGTGCTAACCTCAAGATCAGTAATGCTGTCTTTGTAGATGACTTGATTGTGGTGAGCAGAGCAGAAAGCAGATCTGTACCTAATATTATGAAGACCTTGGGCATTTTCAGAACTACAACAGGACTACAGATTAACATGGCTAAATCAAAAACAGACAAATAGTCTTTGGGGGGTGGGGGGGGGGGGNTCACTATTATGAGAAGAGGTAAACTGCTATTCACATATCTTGGTAGCCCTATAACAGCCTCTAGACTGAAGGTGGTGGGTTGCGAAAGGCTGGTAAATAAGATTACTTGTAAGATTTCTGCTTGGAGTTCAAGACACTTCTCTTATAATGCAAGGGTTAGAATGATTAACTCAATCCTTATGGGTATCATCACATTCTGGTCAAGGATCTCCTTCATTTCTCAAACAGTTATTAAAAAAATACAAGGTGTATGTAGGAATTTTCTCTCGAGAGGTTCTGCCGAATACAAGAAGACTCCTTTAGTAAATCAGGACGAGATTTGTTCTGCTAAGAAGTATGGAGGATTGGGGATTAAAAACTTGTCCAATTGGAATAAGGCTGCTATTATGAAGCTAAACTGGGACGTAGCAACAAAAAAGGATATTTTTTGGGTTAAGAAGGTCCATAGTAGGTATATCAAGCTATCTATTTTTTGGGAGTAAATTCCCAAACCTAATGTTTGCTACCCTAGTACTCTACTGGAAAGAGATAGTTGAGGTTAAGAGGGAATTTGCTGATATGCCAAGAGGAATGGAAAATTAGATCTGTTATGATTATAAATGGCTACAAGGTGAAAAAAAATATGCCTATGTGGAAAGATTGGGTTTGGAATAAGTTGACCCCTCCAAGGTGTCAATGTATAATGTGGTTGATGATGGAGGGAAGGCTTTTGACAAAAGTTAGGATGAACAAATACTCGAACACTGATGCATTATGCAATCTATGTGGGAAGGAACCTGAGAGAAGCATCGATCTATTCTGGAAGTGTGACTATGCACGATCTGTACCTCAAGCAATATGGAACGACTTCGAGATTAGATGGAGCGCAAATGAGCTTGAGGAAGCGGGTGAAGAGATAAGGAGGATCAGTCCTAATGCAAGCACAAGCCTCTACCTAGCAGTGTGGGCGGTTGTGTCTATGGCATTTGGAGGGTTAGAAATGGTTCTCTTCATCACACATGCATCAAGGAACCATCTCTTATATCGTGTTTAATAGTAAATTTTTTATTGATTATAGGATGCATAGAGTGTAACTGGTAGCTTGTTGATGGCTGTTTGTTTGGTTGTTTCCTTAGGGTAATGAAATTTTGTGCATTCGGTTAAAAAAAGAAATATAAAGTGTGAATATTTATTTCTAATAGTTATTTGTTGAATATATTTTTATAAGAAAACATTATAATTTTATTAAACCTGATAATGAGCACTTTAGTCAATAACCACCTAAAAACAGAAAATGGACTGCAACTAGTAAAATATGGAGCACATATGTCATTACCTAGTCAGATATGCTCAGTATGTTTGGTTACTTTAAATTAAAGGGTGAGAAATATAAATCATAACTCATAACATCTAATGAAGCATTCACAAATATATCACAGACACGCTTACATATAAGATATATATGATAATTGTGTACTCACAGTATCAATTATACCTAGCAAGCAGAGGGTATGCAATCCAAGCTTCCGGTTTTCACGAATCTTCTCATAGAAACTGTCCGGCCTCCATGTTTCTGTGAAAAAGGGAATGGAGACTGTCTCTCCATAACGGTATAGTTGTAAACCACAAACCCCAACGGCGTTCATTACTGATGCATTATGCACAACCTTTACATCCACCCCCAACTTTTTTGCTCTAACAACTAGATCGCTATGGGTAGTTGCTCTGGGATAAAGATGGGAGTAAAAAGATGGAAATAATTTAAATCAGAAATGCAGTTAAGGATACCATCCATTAGTTTTAAAACTTTCAAACACATAAAGCAATCCACAAGAAAAATTACAGGTTTGAAAAAACAATTAAAATTTTCCTAAGCAAGAGGAACAATCATTCCATCACCATAGAATGTATAGTCCCTTATATGCGAATTGGTTTACAAAGTTCCCTTTTAACAAGAATTTGAAAGGGAAAAGAAAAGAAAATGAGATGGAAAGTAATTTTTATTCTTTGGTTAGAGAAGAAAAGAATTTCCATCATCTCCGATGGAGCCAAAGATTCACTATCTTTTGGCTTTGAGGTATGATCGAATAAAGCAAAATTGCTCTATAAACTGTTTGTGTTTCTATTATTGTGAAGTAGCAGTTAGTTTATTCAACTCTCGACGCTCATCAATGGTCATCCCGAAACATCGCTCTATGTTTTAAACATAGATGTCAGGCTGCCACATCTGACACCCCCACCCTGCACTGGGCAGGAGCCTTTGAGGCACTGGGTAATGTTGTTGTAGGTTAGAGAAGAAAAGAAAAGAAAACTAGAAGGAAAAGAAAATGTGAAGGACTGAAAGCAAATGTACTAGGAGAAGGGAAAACCAAATTCCTTTCATTTTGGTGAAAAAAATATGAGAGAAAACCTTTTTGTTTTCTAAATTCCTTAAACCAAACACAGTGTTAGGGTGTAAAACTAAGAAAATAATCAAATCATTATAATTGGGACAAATGACAGAACATTGGCTGCTAGAATGGCCAAAAATAAACAATTTTAGACACCAAATTAATAGCTAAATGACTTGCCAAAACTACAAATTTAATAAAAATAAAACGGCACAACAATTCAAAAATTAAAGGAGTAATCATAAAAAATGAACAGAGAATGAAGAAAATAGAACTTAATTAAATGGAGAAGTCATTAATAGTTAATACCCAAAAGGATCTCCAACTACAAGGAAACCAATGTCAGAGGACTGGGCTTCCAACAGTATGATGTCAATCTTCTCTTCAACAGTTTCTCTGTCTGCGAGGGTAATTGATTTTCCATATAGATTTTCCTACAATGGTTGAAAATAAATTGAACTAGCACACAAAAAACATCATCAAACACTTGAAAGATGCTAAACATCAGAGCAATGAGCAATAACAAAACAAACCAGAGCAGAAAGGCCATTTGAAGAGTGGCCAAAAGATAGAAGAGAAGTGTAGGCTTCCATGTATACTTTGCTGCACTTCTTCACCGCTTCAAGTCCTTTCAAAGTGATGTCTTTCTCATCCCCTAAGCCCAAACCAATTACATACAACATTTTCTTGGATTTTACCTGTTATTATTTGAACAAAATTGGTTTAGTTTGGCAGATCAAAAATAAACTATAGTGTCTCTGTTTTTTGGCGCTCAGTCCTAGAAGAGCCTCCTACCGAATCATTCACAATTTGTAAATGGGTTCAAAGTTAAACACCTCCATAGATATGCTCCTTATGAAATTATGAGTTGTATAAGAAATATGATTTCAATAAGGGACGGTTTGGTGAGCAAAACATGGGTTCTGAAATCAGGAAGGGATGGAAAAGGTTTTGAAACCTGTTAACCTGAAAGAAAACTGTTTTGAGAGAACTGAAATGGAATCAAGTGTCAATCATTGTTGTCTGGTGAGCACTTATATACTTGTTCTCATGAACTATGGATAATTGGATTCTGGGTTGTGATAAATTTATAGGGAGGATGAGATTTTTCTATATACATATAATTCACATTTTATTGAAAATATAATAAGAATGTACTTGTGCAAGATAGAAAATGGAGTCCCTTAACTCAAAATTTTATAATATTCAGAACAGTCATCCATCAGAATACATATTTCCTGACACATGACCACATGAACTATATTAAAAATTAGTAAAGCAACCTAATGTGCATAGTTAAATATGTATAGTTGAGCCTATGAAATTTGGGTATTCTAAACTGGTATTCTACTTGAGACTTAAGTGATCATAACTTCATATCACAGATCTAGCTAAGAATCTATATATAATAAATTATATTTGACCTTTTCAACGTTTGGTATTCCAGAGTCTAGACTGGTTCTATTAGAAACTAATCACTTTGATCATAATTGCATATCACAAATCTAGCTAAGAGCGAGTGATATGGAGTATCACAAATCTAGCTAAGAGTATGTGATATGGAGCGAGTATCACAATATGATCAGGACTTTATTTATTTACTGTATTTATTTATTGTTAAATTTGCACTAGAAATTATTAATCAATCGTAAAAAGATAGCAGTTCAAACTGAAACCTGAAAGAGTCAAATTGAGTATCACATTTCCTTTAATTTCTTGCTATCTTGACATATAAATATGAAGTCATCCTTTGACAATTTATTGAGATAGATATAGGGCTCATTTAGAAACAACTTCAGCATTTTGAAATTTTGAAAAAGCTATCTAATGGCAATGTTTAGAATAAGTGTTTTCAAATATACCAGCACTCCATATCTCACTTTTATTGCTGAAATCAAGGAAGCCACTTTCAAAAGAATAGAACCAACTTGCGCTATTTCTATCATCGACTCATTTACCTGTGGCACTTTATCCTCTTCTCATCTTCTTCACACAAATCATATAAATTATTGTCAAATTGTATTTTAATCTAACTGTTTACCAAAATATTATAAATTTGTCTTATTTTTTCATTTGGAAAAGTTGAGGTCGTTCACAAAGAATAAATTTGGCGAAAATATTTCATTTCTTATTCTTGTGTTAATTTAAAAACAAATAGATTTTTTTTGTTTAACAATGTGTTTCATTTGTACATAAGATTTTTTTCATGGAATTTGATTGTTTTTAATCTGTATACAATATGTAGTTTTTTTCCCATAAACATATTTTTTTTCTATAAACACAGGTTGCTTTTTAAAATTCTTAAAGATTAACTATTAATAATAATAATAACAATAACAATTATAATTAAAAAATAGAAAATATTAGACTTCCATTAATAGGAAGTACAAATATATTCCCCCTACATTTATAATTTTAGTGTGCATTTTATTTGGTATAACACACATATATTTAACAAATATGTGATACCTGCATTTGATTTCTTAACTACTCACCAAACATATGTGAATGTGATTTGCTTTCATTTCTATTTTCTCTAAACACTTTTCTTTCAAAGTTCAGAACTCATATCATTTCTTCTAGATTTCAAAACTCATATATTATCATGTCTCCAAACCTCACCAAACAAGCCCCCAAAAATATCAACTTGGAGTGAGCTACTGGGAGTTGCACATCACAAATTGGAAAATATCAACTATCAACATAAATTTCAAAATCTTGGTTCTTTAAATAGTGGGTGTGTTTTGATAAAATGAAAACAATTACTCAACTATCAACCATCAAGAGATAAAACTAACAATTAAATAAATTCATACTCCTATCCCTAATTAGTCTTCCTATTTGCTTTTTACACTGAGTTTAAAATGGTGAAAGTGTGTGGTTTCTGCAAAGAATAAAGCTTGGCCCGCACCACTTTGTACCGCAAAGTATTGCACTAACAATTTGATTGTTCAAACACAAAATGTAAGTGCAATAAAAAAAATTCAAGTGTCAATGTGAGCCATCAAAGTTCAGTGTTAAGCCTTGGGGTACAAAGTGGTGTACACCTAGCATGCTTCTGGTGCAAAAGAGTTGATCTGAACCAAACAATTCTTTCCAAGAAATTGAAAGATTTTAGGGAAAAAAGAAGGTAGAGGCAGGGGCGGAGCCAGGAAATTCATAGAGTGGGGGCGAGAAAAAAATTAAAGACAAATAAATTAATGTACACTATTAAATTGTTAGCATGAATGAACAAACAATTTACCCAGCGTTTTGACAGAAAGCATCTATTTATACTGTCAAATGGTAATGAAGCTCAAAATCTAGATTAAGCAGAGAAGCTAATCCCAAGTCAAGAACAAGAGACAACCTAAAAAACAATCAAAAGACATGATTTTTATCCACTAATTTATGTACACAAGAAAACCCAAAAGAATAATTGAGATTCTACATAGAAGAATATGTTACTGAAGGAGCTAGACTACACAAAAGAGGCAAGGAAAAGGACAGCTAAAATTACCAAAATTGCATAATTTCTTTGGAAAATTTCACACCATTACTCCCAGAATTACACAATTTTATATAAATACTCCGAGATTCAATTAATGACGTCAATACTCCCAAAATTTTCATATGTTTACATCGCTGCTCTAAGAATTCATTTATGTTTATAGCTATGCTCCAAATGTTGGGGCACCGATGTAACCATATTTCAATGTTGGAGTATTGATGTAAACATACGAAAATTCTGGGAGCATGGATGTCATTTATTAAATCTCGGAGTATTTATGTAAAATTGTGTAATTTTGGGAGTAATGATGTGAATTTTTCCAATTTCTTTTTACCACTCTGTGAAGAGTTTCAGCATTTTTTTACTAAAATCAATCTACACTCCGAAAAAAAGTTACCATCTTTGTGACGTCCTCAACAATATTTCTCAGAATATATCAAACATAAATAATCTTTTTGAATAAAATAAAAAGAAAAATAAAAAAAATCAGTAACCCATCTTTTTAATTTTTAAAAATAAGATAAAACTTGGTAAAATTGAGGACTTAAAGAGTGACGCACCAATTGCCAACTGCCCCTCCGCCGTCTCAGCACTACCGGACCACCGACTGAATAGGTCCGTCACTTCGTTGCCCGCCGGTGTCAGAAATTACAAATTGAAGATTAATCGCCCTAGGAGATTGAATTGCAAATTAATTTCCGATGGAGATTGAGAGATGAATCGCAGATTATGGATTGGTAGATGCTAAAAAAATACAAATTGAAAGGGAGAATTGAGATTTGAGATTTAAGGATAGGATATATGATGGGTGGAGAAACGAAGAGCCGGCAGAGGAGTATTTGCCAATCTCGCATAGATATATGATGGGTTCAGATGTGTGAATAGTTTAAGATTTGCCCATTAAGTATGATAGATAGTCAAACCTCTTATGTGAATTGATTGATCAGACAACAATATACTAGCTCTTAATGATTCAGATCTTTTACTGGTTCAGCACTTAATTATTCAGACTTCTTATTGGTTCAGCACTTACCTATTCAGAAGTTGCCAAACAGCCCCTCAGTTGCTCCTTACTAGCTCCGCCCCTGGGTAGAGGGAGTAGCAATAAGGAATTTAACTCATATAAAATGCAAAACAAATCACACATTAAATCCTAATATTCAAAATTACTTGTAATGGCTCACCTTTTAGCGGTAGCGCGGCTGTTGGACGAAAATCGCTGCTTCGCTGGTGGGGGAGTCAGCTGACTATCCCAAAACGGCGCTAGGGTATACACTTCCTCCTGGGACGAACTCCCTATTCGCACGCAGGCTGTTGACTGGTGGCGACGGTAGCGCAACGACGAGGCGAAATCACTGCCTCGATGGATCAGGTGGCTGTAGAAGTTGAATGGCTATGATACCCTAATAGAAAATTTGAATTACAATTTCTTTTTAAGAAATCCTCTCAAACCAAAACTAAACTAGTATGACACCGGTGGTATGTATGGTATATGAAAATATACTCCGTATTTAATAAGAAAATAGTGTTCTCAAGTTTTCTCACCAAAATAGGAATAATTTGGTTTTCCTTACTTTTAGATTATTTTAGAAATTGGTTTCTTTTTTCGTTTACCAATTTGTTAAAATTGTTAATTTTTCTTTTTTATACTTTAGATCGAATTTCATATAATTTTTTTTCTTATAAAATTAATAAGAATTTCACCTAATTATAAATTTTATTGAGAATATATCACTTTATATTATATCTTAAATGTCCAAAATTTCGACAATTCTAAACTCCAACCATATGATATACGGAGTAATAATTTCGTTCAAGAGTATTCGTTCAGTTTGATTAGAGAGATCAAACTTAAGAAATACTTTGAGATGAAGCGAGTATGTTTTGAGTATAAGTTAAACATGATTAGTCTTTAAATTGGTCAACTACAAAGAATGAGAGAATTTAAAATTTAAAGAAATCACCATACGTAGCACTCTAATTTATTCAATATTACGCAAATATCACTCCTTAATCTTTTATACGGATTTAGCTATTTATAGTGTCAATATCTTTCAAGCATACCCTCTATTTTGTATTATATTCTATTATTTTTATTATTTTTAATTATTTGGATAAACTTAGGTTATTCACTTAGCCACTCTTCCTCATACGTGCGGCTCCTCCTCATTCGTGCGTCTCATACGTGCGAGAACATCATCCTACGCCGTTTAACATAAAGCTGCGAGATCTTCCTCTTATGCAGTTTACCAATGTATAATGCCTAAACAAGTTCGTACGTATTAAATTAAGTTTCATATATTCACGCCCATATTTGGCCAGTATATTTTGGTGTAATAGATTATTTATGAAATCAGTCATGCATTTTTGGGCAGTGTGGAATTCATACATGAAAACAGTCATACACATTTTTGAGAGTGTAGAATTCATACATGAAAATAGCGTGAAATTCATACATAAAAAGAGCTATACATTTTTAGGCAATGTGGAACTCATACATGAAAATAGTCATACAATTTTTTTATAGTGTAGAATTTATACAAGAAAACACTGTCACACAAATGAATGAACATTACATCAAACATGAAATTAAGGAACAAAATAATAAACTTACACACTGCTGTAAGATATAACAATATATATTCATTCTACACTGTCACATTAAATACTCACATATAAAAAACGACACTGCCCACTACACAGTTACAGGTGAACAACCACAATGTCTATTTTTTGGCAGTGTATAATATATATTTGGTGTTTAATCAAATGATAAAATCGGAATCACATGTACGAAAAATATAGCACTGCTATTTAGAGTATTTTAAGTTTCTAAGAGTGCTATTTTGGTGGTTTTTCTCCCTTTCGAACAAGAATGAGAGTTTAAAATTTTTGAGATTGACTAATAGTGGGTATTATTTATTGTTGGAAACAATTGACATCACTAAAAACATAGGTATTATTGAAGGAAAGGATTCCCTTCACCTTGTTTGGTTTGGAGGAGAAGGAAATGTTTTATTTTTAATATTTTATTTATAGTTTTAATTTTTAATTTTATTTTGTTACCTATTTTCAAAAAATTAGCATCAGTGTTTTTTTATTTAATTCTTTCATTTTATTTTTTATAATTTTAATTTTTTATTACTATTTTTATTAGTTATCCTACACTCTAGCTTTTTTTCATTTTCTTATGTAATTTATTTTTTAAAATTTAATTAATTATGTGTGTGTGTATATATATATATATATATATTACTTTATTTGTTATTTATTACTATAGTCCATTATGAATAGATTGATTTATTTTATTATTATAAATATTTATTATTATTATTATCAACTTTAAATTTTTATTAATAATTTTTTATTTATGTTTTTATTTTTTATCATGGGTTTTTATTTTATGATATTAATATTTTTGGTTTTTTTATTCTTATTTTTTATGTCTACTCCTTTATTATTATTAATATTTTAATTAAGATTTATTTATTTATTTTATTAGTATACAATTTTTGTTATTATTAATTTTTTTGTTGATTTCAAATGATTTAATTTATTTCTATTTATTTATTTACTTTAATTTTATTATATATTAGTTTTTTATTGACATGGCAAAAAGTTTGACGGAAGAAGAGAAAGACAAGATGGAAAGAGATTTTGTCCGATTGGGAAGAATTTATTTGGAGGGGCAAGGAGGCAATTGAAGCTAAATATTTGGATCTCCTCCCCTCCATGTTTTTAAACCAAACAAGGGTAAGGGTTCTGAGTCCCTCCCCTCCCCTTCTCTCCAACCAAACAAACCCTAAGACACCCTCGCACTCGTTCCTTTAAATTTTAGCGCTTTTGCGCACTCAAATCCGCAATCACATTCGAACTCGCTTGATGTGATCTAGATTTTTATTGCTTTAAAGTTCTAGAGGAAAGCAGGCTGTTATATTGGAATCCATGAAATGTCATTTTTAAATTTCCAAAAAACAAACAAACACAAAGACAATAATATTAATGTAGCCTTAGAATTAATTCATTAGAAACTAATTACTTTTGATTTCTATTCAGTGCTATTAAGGCTATTATATTGCTTCACCACGCCTCACTCCAAAACCAGTAGTAAAATCAGTACTGAATGTACTCACTATCTCATTCATTTCACACTCGTAGTGTCTCACTTCCACTACAATGATTACATTTTTATTTTTTACGGAGTATTTAATATTTACCTAATTATTTTCAAAACAAATTATATCCTTTATAAAAAGAATAAAAGTTATTCTTTATGATTTTTGGTTTATTATTACTTTTTTTCTTTCAATTTTATTATTTCTTTCGTTCAGAATTACGTAGTATATTTTTTATTTTTGATCTTTTGTATTTTTATATTATAAAAGATAAATTAAAAAACATAAACATAAAAAAATGAGTTCAAACGGCATATTCGTTGATAATTAATAACTTATGTACAAAAGGTTATGAACAAATTAAACATTATAAAAGAAAAACGTAATAAAACTAAAAACAAAATTAAATTTTACTACCGTGGTCGTGACCATAGCCTTCCTTCACAACATGATCACGCGGGGGGGGGGGGGGGGGGG